TCACAAACGCGTATTAAAAAACACTATGAAAGCCTGGTGAATTGCTGAAGTTGTTATTGAGTGTCCAAATGACTTCATTTATATAGATCAGCTGAATAGAAAAATTATCACCTGTCTGAACCTACTTGAATGCAAGGCAAAGATTTCCGTTGTATTCAACTCTCAGGTGAATAAAGAAATCTTATGAAAATCTTGTTCCCGATTCTCTTCGTGAACAATTTTAAACTTTTTTCATTAATCCTTTGCTCACTTATCGATGAATATAGAGTCTAACTATACGGCTCTAATATTTTCATATCATACTCTTTTTGTACTCAATTTTTGTTCCTTGTGATGCAACCCATTAAAATAATTCATGTGAGTGTTAGAATAAAAGGCTTGTCTATGAATTCGTTCCACAGTCAACTCCATAATAAACAGGAAATTATTTCAATGCGATCACAGAAATACCTATGTTAACCTTCATTAACTTTTTCTACTCAGGGACTGGGCCGCTTGGGCATCACGGACATCTTCAATTCGTCGGTGGCGAACTTCACCAGCTTCACCTCAGACAGTTCTCTCTACGTGGATACTGCAATACACCAGGTATATCTTGATGACACTGTCAACCATTTAGTTTTAGCAGTACTACTATTGGCCAGGTGAGTTACTAGTACTGCCATCAACCAAGTGTGCTGCAAGCACTACCCTCAATCAAGTGTGTTCCCAGTACTACTATCAACCAGGCGTGTTGTCGATATTGCCAGCCACTGTGTTTCTAGTAGTTCTAACAATTAAGCAGTACTCCAGTACTGTGTGCTACCACCGTCCAAACGGTGTGTTACCATTACTGTCGTCCAACATATGTGTTACTGATGATACCTTCAATCATTTGTGTTACAGCCACTGGATATGAGTGAAGAAATGCATCAAAATATTGTTGGCGGTTATGCTGCGCGTTATCAAGCTGGTGTTTATCAAGCAATATAAGTGATATTAACTCAGAATGTGTCACGTAGGTCGATCTAAGTGTAGATCGAGTGATATTACTTTATTTGCTTCGAATTGCATTTCACCTGCGATTTCAGTATTACTACTTCAATTTCCATCGCAGGCCAAGGTGAAGGTGGATGAAGAGGGCACGGTGGCCGCTGCCGCAACGGCGCTCACCTTCGCTTATAGCTTCTCAAGCGACCCCGTCCAGTTCGTGGCCAACCGACCCTTCTTGTTCCTCATCTACGACAGCCGAGTCAATGTGACCCTCTTTGCCGGCATCATCAGGAACCCGTCCAAATAAACACATCATTACGACAGCCGGGTCAAGGTGACTCTCTTTGCCAGCATCATCAGGAACCCCTCCTAGTAAACACATCAATACGACAGCTGTGTCCCATATATGCTCCTGTTGCTCTTTTTTTGCGCAGCAAGCATATCACTCACTTTTGTTCTGTTTTATTCTGTGTTCTATTTCTATACATTATTCTTTTTCAAATAAAATTCGCTATTGCACTGCAATAAACATGAGCTATTTTTCATTATTTCATTTCATAAGTTAACCTTAATCACATCAGGCGCACGCAACACGCTGCAGCCTCGGGGTGCGATGCTACGAAAGATTTTGTGAATGTCTTCTCCCATGTATTAAAGATCTGAAACACGTGATACTTTATTAAATGATAAAAATTGGTTGTTTAGTATCTGTCTTCAAATGCAGAATTAAGGACTTCGACTGTTTCGCCAGACTCACTAGCTTAACGACAAATCTATTTTACGATAAATCTCTACGTGGAACCACAAAGAAAGCAAATAACCAGTGCACTGCTGTAAGGCTGCTGCTGTAGGCAGGTTTGGCAAAGTGGTACAAATGACAATTTGAGAAGTAGAATGTCAATCCCATCAATACTGATTTCAAAGTCTATAAAAATGAGCTTTCAAAGAGCCAAAAGACATCCAGTAAGAAGGTTTGTAGACCGTCAACCGTGTACAGGCCGGAGAAGTATAGTTTAAATTTTCCAACTTTCAAATTACCAAATCCTCCCTTCGAATCAGTGGAATAATAAAAATTATAGCATTACTGCGCAAGCTTTTATTTTTTTTCTAGGCTTGACAGTTTTCTTGGTCCTCACAACAAACTTTCTCTTTGGTTTTTCCAAGCGATTAGGAAATTTTTCCTCTCTAGTAGAGAGGATAATTGATCTTTGTAGGGACCATGAATGCCTGTAGAGTTCAGTCAAAGGAGTATAGAAGTCGAAATGCAAAAGAACATGCTCTGGTGAAAATAGTTGACTTTTAAGAAACTTTCGTGTACAAGTCACCATTGACAAGGTTCGCAAGAAAATTCATACGTTGCCTTTGAAATTCCACCGTGAAATGAATTTCATACAAAATGAATTCCATTGCATATGAATTCCATCTCAATTTCATCATCCTGCTTTGGGGTGAGTGGCATTATTTTCTTTAGCAGACTGTCAAACAACAACAAGTCCACTGGCAGTCTACAGTAGTATAATTTTGAAAGTCTGATGCATTCGCAATTGAGGATTCTTTGAAAATGTAATTGTGTGAGCATTTCTTTGCAAGCATTTTTTCACCCAAATACGTCGACGCCTACATATTTTCTTAATAGCAGTACACCCGAGAACAATGGCCCAGATCTCAAATTCGGATATATCCATATCCTCACTGACGTCCAAACTAATCTTCAAAGCGCGCGGTCTCGAGCCACCGCGTACAAAAATAAGTGTGACCGGTTGTGGGCGGTGAGACGGTCTAGCAAGCGCCTCACCGCCCATGTCGTTGCCCCTAGCGTAAACGGGCCTTAAGACGGCCGAGATGCTACTGACTACTGAGCACACTCGAGTGACTCGACTGCTTCAAAACAACTCTAGTTGCTCTGCGTGCAATGCACCAGCTAGTTGCTTCTGAACACGTCAATCATCACAAATTTTCGCCTCGTGTATAAGCACCTTAAGCTATGAAGCGATGCTAAGTGGAAGGGCGATACTTTTAATAAGGTTGTGCTACCTATTATCAGATCAACCCAGTATGCGAACTATATTGTTATGCGAAGCTTTGACATAGCTGGTAATACTCTAACACTTCACTCGTGATAGCACAGATAATTATTTGAAAAATTTGTGATTGTTCCAAATACTTACCCAGCGTAATAAATTTGTGTGTAATAACAACACGATAGAAAAAATGCTCAATGTAGGCTAACTTTAGAACGAAACAGTTTTGAGTCCAAAAACAATGTTAACCGCTACAGATTTTACAATAAAATGCGCGGTGTTTTCACACTTTTTTCAATTTGTTGCAGCTCTTCTACAGTGTGAGCTTATGGTTTTACCTGCCAACATCCAGACCTTGCATTGTCCGTCTGTTTTGTCAGAATCGTACGAGCGTTTGCACTGTGGCCCATGCAGGATGCTCTTTGCGTCTGCGGTGATGCGGAGTGCGGAGTTCAGTTGAGGTTCAGTTAGCCTCTGAAGCGGTCGACTGAGAGGTTTAGTGTGCGCGATTCCTAGAAAGAAGGAAATTGCTATGTGAGCCTCTTGTTTTGTTATTATTCACTGAGAGTTTGAAGTACTTGAATGGGTACTTTGCTATTAGACTCACATTTTTTTAATTACCAGCCGATTGAGACAGTGATCTACCTGTTCTAGAAAGTTAAGTGATGGATTTAAAAACTGCAGCCGAGGGTGGGAGGTTAGGTTGAGTAAGGATTTCATATTAACCAGTTTACACGTATGTTTTCGTCGAATATTAGAACTGTACTGAATAATGTCAAACGATAAATTTCACGAATATGCAATCCAGCTCAGCTGGTGGCCTGGTGCACGAATTTGCACTAAATACATACATGTATACTAGGCCTATATAGCTACCAAGTGTTATTGAATGATTCATTCATTATAGATTTTCATTAAAAGTAACAGAAACTCTCTATCTAACCGGGAAGTATTGTACGGTTCTTTCACCCATCGGAAAAGCGATATCCAGTGTAATGGAAACAAAAATTATCATGTTAAACTAAGCTCGATTTAAATCTCGCTATCGTAACGATTAGCCTTAGGTATCGAATTGAATCATATCATGTTTGTTTCGTCAATCGTATTCTACTTCTGGACTTCGCGTTATTTTTGGAGGCTTCTAACATTTTTAAACGAAGTTTAGCACGTTAAGTGCGACTATGTCGTATTCAGGGCGTATTTCATACTGGTGGTACGAGCCACACTCAACGTGTTAAATAACGAATCAGAAATAGTGGTGGTAATTCATGTTTAGTCACGATCTCTTTGCGCGAAACGCAGGACTGAAGCCGGGCTTACTGGCCTTGGGTTCGCAGACGCTAATCTGAACGAAGCCTCATCCAGCGAGCATCCATTAATTCCAAGCCTCCAACCACATTTTGGCACGTAAAAATGACAGTTTCGATATGTAGACGCTAGTGAAAAGTACTGTCAGGCGTCCAATTAACCGCAAAGAAAAATAATGTTTCAATAGCATTGCTCAAGCGATTTCAAACATTGTGTTTCGTCTGGACTGTCAAGGACAATCTACTGAAAGAACGGATGTACGCCCCGCACACACGGTAATTTCTTACTTCCTTCTATCGCCATCATGACGAGTCCGTCGTGCGTAACAATAATGGAAGCGTTGGCTAACAGCAGGCAAAATAACGAAGCCAACCCGCACGCACGGTCTGGTGACTCTGGTCCTCTATCTTTGTGAATATTAGGTGGCTTTGTCTGCAAGAAATGTGGCCTCCATTTGGCCGTACATTATTGAACTGAGTAAGGCCAGGTGATTTATGTGCAAACAACCACACTAGCTTCATTCTCTCTTATTTATTGAAAATTTGAACATCTGGATTCGTGATGAATTTTACTTAGTCTGATATGATGTGATACTTGATTACTCAGGTGATTAAAAAATATTCTCCGTCGCACTTACGATTGGAAACAAGTTCGTGCCGTGAGGGTCTAAATGATGGTCTAAACGAAATGCTGACTAAATTAACATGAATAGCAATATTTACAATAGGTAACATCATGGATTTCTTAATTAACTTTTCAACACATTCAAGCAATAGTTTCTGTCCTTTTCCAGAACTATATAAACTAGAAATATTAACCAATAATCATGGTGGCTTGGCGTGTAGTGTTGGTCGTGGCGACATTGATGAGCTCAGCGACATGCACTCTAGACTCGTGCTTCCCGGACTCAGGCTCGTCCGACACGACCAGCAGCAACTTCAACTTCTCCGGTGAGTCGGGGTAAATGGTGGGACGTACTTGAGAGTTTGATGTTGGCGCCTGCTTTTGCAAACGATAGGAAGTCGTGTGTTGGAAGTTAGGGCGTGAATGTGCAAATAACAGCGAGAACTTGCTGGTGAGCATTACTACTAAAGGGAGCAGTACTGGTAGTCAATGTACAAGCTGAACATTTGAACATTATATAATGTTATTAAATTGGTGATTGAAATTTCAAGAAATTTTCATATCACACAACAGGCATTTATTCCCCGCCCGGTAAATAGCATGCTTCATGTCATCAATTACTCGTATTAATTATGAATCTAAAATTCGATATGCTTTTAATGGACGAATTCATTTGCAATACATTTGTGTCAAATGTAAGAGACTGTATAACTCAAACTGGCACATTCCTGAATTGAGTAGAGTTTTTCATCTTACATTAATATTGCCGATTTGTATTCCTAAGTATTGACTGGTATTACAGAGGGGAAATATTGAAATTAAGTTCAGATGTTAGGTAATATGGTAACTATGTTTTGATAATCTCTATTAGTATGGCTGTAGAGTTTTGATATGACAAGGTTTTTTACTAAACAGCGAGGTTTAAATTTACGTATTCTATCTGCATTCTAGGTTACTTATCATATTATCATAGTGATGTCGGCGCTGAAGAATATGCCTGCTGTGAACCTTTTATACATGGGGAGTTAATTTAGCTATAAATTTATATGGCAAAATGTTTAAATCCTAAATGTAAAGTGTTGCATGTTACGACGCAGGAGTGGACATCTTTGGACTGGGCTTGTTCAGAGAACTAAACTCGCTGATGACGTCATCACAAAGCGCCGGTGATGCTAACCTGCTGGTGTCGCCCTACAGCGTGTGGAGTGCCCTCAGTCTCGCCCTGATGGGCGCAGAGGGTAGATCTCGTCGTCAGCTCGAAGACGCGCTCGGGCTGCCCACCACAAGGCGTGGTGCCTACAGGACCAAATACGCTCTTGACTTTGTGTAAGTCTGAATTTTTTTATTTTGAAATGGATACTGGCGTAAATACAAATCAAAAACCGTTCGATGCTGTGTTGATGCGTTAGTGGTTCTTAAACTTTGCTACATTTTTATCCGTTTCAACAACCGTAATTGACGAAGATTTATTTTCCAGCCCCATACATGCAATGTATAAATTAACCAGGGGACTCTCCATTCCTCCAAAAAATTGTTTGAAATTACAGTAGAAATTATTTGCCCTCAGGGGGTAATTTGCGTCCATTTTGAAATCACTGCATAAGTGGCTGATAAATTCCTGAAATTTATCACGGCATCGCAGGATGCGCGCGCTGGGGTCGGGGACCAACGGGGGACCCGAGCTGCGCCGTGTCGACCGCGCCTACTTCGACCCCACAGTCCAGCTGCACCCGTGCGTCACTAACCTACTCAACGACGTACAAATCCTCGACATGATTTTCGATTCAAGTAAGAATGCTTTTCAGTAAAAAGGTAATATTAAATTATCATGTCACGGTGTCAGAACCTGCACTCAGAGAAATGAATGAGATCTTGTCCAAATATTGATGCGCTTTTTGCTCTTGAATGGAAGATCTTGAGCCAGTTAGGCCCGGCAAAGGAGCTGGTCTTTGCCGACATGTTTTGACCATCGTGTAGCTGCAAATTATTGAAGGCGAATGCGGATTGACTATTTCACTTCTTGCTTCAGCTCAGACACATTTTAATCCAAATTATTTAACGTCTTTCTGCTCGAAAGCGCGTGAAATATCGGCTATTTGTCAATCTAACATATCATGCGGTAAAGATAATTTATATGTGAAAATATTGTAAGGTCACTCAGAAGATTGCGGAGATAATGGACCCTGAAGCAGCAATGAAGGTGGTTAGGCAGAGATAATGAAGCTAGGGTCATAAGATAACCGTTATTACTGTGGTTTCTGCAGAGTTAATGAAGCCTGAGAAGTGCCGGTTGTTCTGCAGAGGTTACGAAACATAAATTCTGCATCGACTCTGCATAGATAATTAAGCTTGAGCCTTTGTAGTAGGTCGTCGTACGCAGAAAACGAAGCTTGAGCTAGTTTTGCAACGAGCTTTGGGGAGATATCGGAGTCTGAACATTCACTTCGGGCTGCAGGTGTTAAAACTGAAAGACATGCAGGTGCAAACTGCAGGTCTTAAATAGTTTATGAAACCTGAACCTTTATTGCAATGGCCCTACAGAGTTAATGAAGCCTGAACCTTCATTGCAGTTGGCTCTGCAAACAAAATCAACAACGACGTCAGTATGGTGACTGGCGGTCAAATCAAAGACCTTCTGTCCTCCGACGCGCTCGTGAACTCTTTGTTTGTGCTTCTGAATGCCATATACTTCAAGGGCTCCTGGCAGACAAAGTTTGATCCAAAAAACACCAGCAAGCAGGTAAAATTTTGTTTTTTTATTGATCTTTTGCGTTTCTTTTTGTTATGCAACGCGTGTTATATTCGTTCTTCAGCTACTGTTCTACTCGTACTTGGTCTTTACCTTAGGTTTTGGTTGCTTTTCTAAATATCGCTTCCTTGAAGTCAAATCAGGCTTCTTGTGTTCTCCCCCTTAATTAAGTTTTGTTCATACCCCAAATTTGTCGAACTGTCACCATAGGTTCTTGTTCTTTAGTTGCTGTCCTTTAGCGCAGTTTCTTGTGATCCTTTTGGAAGTTAAGGGTTGTATGACCACCTACTGAGATGCAGGAAAACAAAAAGGGAATCTTAATTCTTTGGGTTATTCTGGTAGTCGGGCAAGGAAACAATGTGAAGAAATGCGTAGGTACTAGTTAGATAATGACATAATGTACTGGCGAGATTATTTGTAGAGATCATGTGTGATTATGAGATTATGTGTGATTGTGTGTGAGATTATGTGTTGAATAATCGTGATTTATTCATTCTTAATTGTTAATATCAGAAATTAAAATTATTATCAAAACTATTGGATGTTATATTTATTAAAACTGGCAATGGTTAACCGGCTTACGACGTCGATTATGTTTACTTTTTACAACACTTCTCTTTAGCTTCACTTCTTGTCTGTTTGTTTGTCTGTCTGTCTGCTACAAATCTTCTAATCGAAATTTAATACACTTCTACTTATCCTATAGATCTGAAATTTTGCACACTTGTGTAAAGTTGAAGACAATGCATGAATCAAATGTCAAAATAAATGATTTTAAAAATTAAAAAAAAAAATTCAGTAGTAAAAAAATTGAAAAAATAATTTTGTTAGCTACATATCTTATAACTGATATTTGACACACTTTTACCTGTCTAATTGATCTGAAATTTTGCACACTTGTGTGAAGTCAGAGGCAATGCATGAATCAATAGAATAAATAATTTTGTAAAGAAAATATATAATAAAAAAATTATATATGAAAAAATTGAAAAATTAATTTTTTTTAATATTCTACAATAAAATGAGAAATTCATTGTACATCTATAAGATTGGACACACTGGATTCTTTGGAAGTGTTGTCTTCAAAAAGTAATTTTTAAACGTATATTATTATTACTGTATTTGTCGTTGACAATCAGACGAGGTTTACAGGTTAATTGTACGTAATTACGACGTTAAGATGTATAAAAATACCGTTTTGTCCTAATAATACTAATGGAATCAATACATCCTAAACTCGATTTCGTTTAGTTTTTCCTATATCTTTCATGTTTCGAAAGGGAAGTATCCGTCTGGTTATTTACATAAAATCAGCTACAAATTAAAGCGAGACTTCTTGACGCATATGAAAATTGTTTAATTAGAATTTTATTAGTGGTTTGACTCTTTAGGGTGGAGAGTGTAAAGTCGATGCCAGACTAATATTGAAATCAACATGAACATTAGAAAAGTAGATATGTAGAAAAAAAATCAATATAGTTGACCACAAGTCGAATATCGATGCTTAAACATTCAGCGAAACTATATTTTTGAGTATGAAGGATAACCCAACCAATAGTACGGTTGTATGCAGTCTTATTTGTCTGTATTTTCTTCTGTATTGGATGTGGCATTCTGTTAATTTTTCACCGATGAGATGAATCTTTTTTAATTCATCTCACTTAACTGTTTTAATTCCACGCTACCAAGTTGTTATTGGCCCGAAAATTAATTTTTCGGAGTTGACATGTATTTTCAGAGTTGGTTTTGTATTGACTTGCAATTTTACTATCACTCAATAACGTTTCATGGCTATTCAGATATCATAAGTTCTGGTATTTCTAGCTCGATATTTGTTATTTTGTGCGTTTTATTTTAAGTTTATGCGATCTCAATGTTACATGAAATACTTGCAGAAATTTAACCGGCAATCGGGCGAGATGGTAGCCATGGCCGACATGATGACCGTGGAAAGTACCTTCAATCTAGGTTGGTGGTTGTACTAAGCGTTGTAGTACTCGTGTACGTGACAGAGAGCAGGTTAGTAGAGTACATGTTCCTATTACCACCTGCACCACGTGCTGTAACACTCGTGCACGGAACAGAGGGCACGGTATATAGTGCTCAAGTGGATGAGTCAAGGAACGTAACCCAAGAAAATGTAGTGCTCGTTTTCGGCTAATGTGTTACGATTGAGCGATTTTCACGAACTGAGTTCTTGCATGCTGAATGTTTTTAAACGAGTTGATTTGTCGTCAAATCGAGAATTATTTCTCTAGTTGCCTTAGTTGATTCTCGTTTATCACCAGGCTGATACCTTTCGGAAAATTTGTTCATTTAACGAATATTATAATACTTAAAATTATTTTTCAATATTCGGATGTGCTAAGCAGTCTAGCCATCGAGCACCATGACAGCGCAAGTTGTCTACTAGTGAGTATTGTGACAAAATTATCCTAACAAAAAAATGAATATTATGACGAAATTATTACTAATCATTCGTGATTGATGTCTATTCTCTGTGCAGCGGCATCAACATCCTTAGGCGCCGCCATGCTACAGCTCCCCTACTACAACAGCAACATGTCTATGCTGGTCATGTTGCCGGATCCTTCGGTGGGTGCTGCCATGTTGTTTAATGCTGCTGCTACTGCCCTACTACTACTGCAACATATCTATGCTGATCATGTTGCCGGATCATTTGATAAGTGCTGCCTTGTTCTTCACATTCAGTAAAATGTTGCTGCTGTTCTACAACCGCTGCAACATGTTCATCCTCCTTGTATGTGTACCGCCTAACTTGCGTACTTAAATATCATCCTTATGTGCGCCACGCCTCAATAATGCTCGTTAATATCCTTGTATGCGCGCCGATGTAACTGAATTTCAGGGCAGGGGGGCCCAGTGGTTACGATTCAGAGTACCAAGATTGGAGCAGAGAGGTGCAAGTTTGATCCCAGCTCTGTGCGACAGTTTATGGTAGATAGAAGCGAGGAGGCCGGGTCGGTTAAGCTCAGCAAAATTTGAACAGCGAGTTGCGCTTTCAAAACCCGCAACAAGTTGTGAATTTTCTGTGATGTTAAGAATTCACGACGCTTAAACCACTATTATTATTCCGTTTTCAGCAGTCAACGGTCGACGAGACGCTCAAGCAGCTCTCTCCCACCACGCTGTCCCAGTCTCTGGCCGCCTTGAAGCCAACCATCGTCAGGGTCTCTCTACCCAAGTTTGATCTTGCTAAAAAGATGGAGGATGAACTAGTGCAGGTCAGTATTTTTATGTATAGCCCATGATCTAAAGATCAAGGTATACGATCAAATAGTGTTTGTCAGTATTTTTTTTTTTTTTTTTGCTACAGCGGTTGATTTCGAGACCGAAGTACACGACTAAGTAGCGGAGGTTGGTATTACACGACACTATACTGTTCTGAAAACGAAGGTGCATGATATTTTGGTGCATATAATTATTTTTACATGATAACTACATTTTTGCAACGTCATTAAATACCATGAAAACATGGTGAGTTGCTAAAGTTTCTATCGAGTGTCCAATGACTTCATTTATTTAGATCAACTGAATAGAAAATTCCTCATCTTTCTGAACAAACTTGAATGCAGGGCAAAGATTTTCATCGCATTTAACTCACGGGTGAATAAAGAAATCACATTAAAATTTTATTGGTATTCTCTTTCTGAACAATTTTGTAATTTTTTTATCAATCCTTCGCTCACTTGTTTTTTATCGACGAATATAGCGTCGAACTAACCGGCTCTAATATATCCATATCATACTCTTTTTTTATTCTATTTTTCTTCCCTTTGATGCAGTCCATTGAAATAATTCATGTAAGTGTTAGAATAAAAGGCTTGTCTTTGAAATCGTTCCACAGTCAACTCCATAATAAACAGGAAATTATGCCAACGCGACCAAAATAATGCCTATGTTAACCTCCTATAACTTTTTCTGCTCAGGGACTGGGCCGCTTGGGCATCACGGACATCTTCAATTCGTCGGTGGCAAACTTCACCAGCTTCACCTCTGACAGTTCTCTCTACGTGGATACTGCAATTCACCAGGTATATCTTGACGAGACTGTCAACCATTTAGTGATAGCAGTTCCACTATTAACCATATGTGTTACTAGTACTGCCATCAAACAAGTCTGGTACTAGCACTACCTTCAATCATGTGTGTTCCCAGTACTACCTTTAACCATGCGTGTTATCGATATTACCAGCCACTATGTTACTAAGTAGTACTAACAATCGGTCCTCGAGGAGTGTGTGCTAATACCGTCCAAACGGTGTGTTACCATTACTGTCGTCCATCATATGTATTACTGATGATGCCTTCAATCGTTTGTTACTGGTACCGCCATTCACTAGATGAGAGTAAAGAAATGCTACTTGAAGAAGTGGTTCCTATTTCTAATGCTGGTTGAGATTGGATTTCGATTTAGAAGTTACAAACGGCCGTCCCACTTCCCTAATTAGTTGATGTAAATAAGTATTACGTAGGTTGGAGTGAAGATGATATTCAAATGTATTTATTTATGGATCGAAAAATGATGGCGCCGACCAACATCTAACCAGGGTTGGTCGTCAGAATACGAACACGACATATGCAAAATGGAATAACAACAATATAGAAAAGGAACAAAAAAGGTAATTCAGTTATTATGTTGGCAATATTAAATCACGATTATCTGAATTAGATATTGATGATCAACAAGGTTAAAGGTTTAATAAAATTAAGTACGACATTCACAATAAAAGACAGTGCGAGCTATAAATTCGATTCACTACATACTAATAATTGCTGGCGGTTATGCTGCGCAGTTATCAAGCAATATGAATGATATTAACTCAGAATGTGCCACGTAGTTCGAAATTGGTGCAGATCAAGTGATATTACTTGATATGCTTCAAGTTGCATTTCGCCTGCAATTTTCAGTATAACTACTTCAATTCCCATCGCAGGCCAAGGTGATGGTGAATGAAGAGGGCACGGTGGCTGCTGCCGCAACGGCGCTCACGGCCACCAGGAGCGGCTCCAGCAACCCCGTCCAGTTCTCGGCCAACCGACCCTTCTTGTTCCTCATCTACGACAGCCGGGTCAGAGTGACCCTCTTTGCCGGCATCATCAGGAACCCGTCCAAATAAACACATCATTACGACAGCCGGGTCAGAGTGACCCTCTTTGCCGGCATCATCAGGAACCCGTCCAAATAAACACATCATTACGACAGCCGGGTCAAGCTGACCCTCTTTGCCGGCATCATCAGGAACCCGTCCAAATAATCACATCATAACGACAGCCGGGTCAAGGTGATCCTCTTTGCCGGCATCATCAGGAACCCGTCCAAAAAAACACATTACGAGAGCCGGATCAAGATGAAAATCTTAGCCGGCATCATCAGGAACCCGTCCAAGTGAATATATCATTACAAGCTGGGTCAAGTTGACTCTATTTGCAGGTATCCTTGAAATTTTTCCACTTATGTCCCTAGGCGATGCAGTTTCCATTGGATATAAGACTAGTATTTTAGACGCTGGTGAAATATCGAAGTATTATACAGGCTAATGTAAGGCTTAAATATTATACAATCTGTTGTAAGACCAAAGTAGCCTACTGGTAAACCAGAATTAGTAGGTATGGTAAACCAGAATTATACTAGCTTCTCCAATGGCGAAGTATTATACAGGATGGTTTAAGACCTGAGTATCACGCGGGCTGGTGTGCGACTGAAGTGCATCACTGGCTGGTGTAATAACAGGATGGAATCAGAGTGCCGAGAAATATTTACACGATCTGGGTGTATCGCATATTTTATGCTTATCGCTTATTTTTTTGGCACAGCAAACATTATACTCACTAACGTTTTGTTTTATTTATGTTCTTTTACTGTACAATATTATTCTTTTTCAAATAATTTCAAGTAAAATTCGCTATTGCACTGCAATAAACACGAGTTGCATAAGTTAACCTCTGATTGAGAACCGCGAGCCTTCGAACAGGCTCGGCTCTTCCCTATGAGTCTCTTCACAAACTAGGCTGGACTTTACTCCACTCGTAGATGGCATGGAGACATAAATTTTTCCATGCTTACCCAGCTATTTATTTACAAACGGTGGACAGTTACAAAAAATATGTAAACCTTGCATTACAAGAGTTATGATGGGATTTTTTAAGAAACTTTGAATATTAATGTTCACCAAGTCTGCGACTTTTACACTTTTTTCGAAATGTCAACGGGTTTTACGTTTTATTTTCCACTGAATGGTAACCTCGGCATTTCTTGATCAGCCTCTTTGTTGTAGATATTACCTACCAAAAACCTAGTAATGAACAAGCATGCTCATACGTGAAGTGAAAATCCCGTATATTGACTAGGCATTGTGGAAAGTTTGAGGGTAAAATAACGTCATAAATCTCACCTGTCAGTCCGCGACGGGTGGTGAAGAGAAGGGGAACTAAATGAGGGTCGAGGAATAATACGTGGTCAGTGGTCGGCCGAGACCAATTTATACTAGCCGACCGCTGGCCATTACTCGGCCACCTGAAACCCGTCCATTTCCCCAGAAAGGGTGCTGGCTCGGATATCATATTACAGACCACAAGCTCACGAGTAGAATCTTGCCGAGCGAAGGACAGAACTTAGGATTTCACGCCGTTGCCGTTGTCGCGAATATCTCGCTCTCAGACTTCGCCGCAGTCTGACTACAAGCTTCAATCACATCACGCGTAAGCAACACGCAGCAACCTCGGGGTGGGATGGTTTCAGGACTTTGTGCTATGAAGGATTTTGTTTGTCTTCTGTGTTTTAAAGATTTGTATCACGTGATACTTCGGTAAATAATAAAAATATATTGTTCAGAATCTGTCTTCAAATGCAGAATTAAGGACTACAACTGTTTTGCAAAACTAGAGAAATTCAATATTAGTTCTCTTTTACTAGCGCTGTGACATACCGTACCTACTGCACGAAACCGTCTACGTGGCACGGGTGCGCAGCCGTAGGCCAGAAAATTACCTCTCAAAGCAGCCCAGGAGCCAACATCAACCATCTAAATGCTATAGATAATGTCATCCTGGCACCTAAGCAGCTGTACTCAATTGACCTATCTCGCCACACTAACTGCTAACCAACAATGTTTCAGCCCCCAAGCTCAATACGTCTTTCTCCAATGATTTTCAACCCATACCATCACTTCTTACACATGCCGATATCCCTATAGAGGGTCCGCTGCCCACGCTGTACTCCGTGCCACCACAAAGGAAGCAAATAACCAGAGCGCTGCAGTAAGGTTGCAGCTGGAGGCAGGTTTGACATAGCGCCACAAATGACAATATGAGAAATAGGAATGTCAATCCCATCAATACGGATTTCAAAGTCTATAAAAATGAGCTTTCAAAGAGCCAGCAGACATCCAGTATGAAGGCCTAAAAACAGTCAACCGTATATATGCTGAAGTAGTCATGAAGCTTCTGGTCCGTATGATCAGATGGCATCATCAGTTCTAAGTGCCGAGGTTTTTCATGGTAAACGTAGAGAGCGCTCGTCAGTTTGGCTATTAAATGTCCGAGCCAACTACATTCAATTTTCCAACTATCAAAGTAACAAAGCCTCCCTTTGAATGCAATAAAAGTTATAGTATTAATGCACAAGATTTTATTTTCTTCTAGGCTTGACAGTTTTCTTGGTCCTCACAACAAACTTTCTCTTTGGTTTTTCCTCGTCTTGTGCCTTCTTAAGTCGCTTCCTGACGCGCTTGCTTTCTTCGGTGTCATCGTCGTCGCTGTTCTCGCCTCTGTTGGCTTTCTTCACGTCCTCGATGCGCTTCATCTCCTGAAATTATTATCAATAAGCTTAGATTTTGAAGTCCAATAACCGAGATGGTTATTGATGATGAATGGCCTGTCGACTGAAACAATAGATAGGTCGAGTAGAAAAAAAATTGGTTTCATGTTAAACATTAAAAAATATAACTCAGTACTCACTGCCGTGAGTGACAAAGAGCGCATCTTCTCGTCGACGAAAACTTGAGGTCACGGACAGACGGACGGACAGACAGACAGACGGACATGGCGAGCACTATAGTGCATTTTTTCCATAAATGAGAAAATGCGCTAAAAATAATCGTTCGAAAATTAGATTTACAGATTAGGAATTCTAGTCCATTTCATGATTATAGGAGATAACAATGGGTAATACAGATAAAATGGATGAAATATATTCAAATTAATAACCGATTTCATGGCGGAAGAACACGGTGGGTGAACACTCATAACTTGAGTGATGCATTGTGTTTTTGTTATCATGACACTTAAGCAACATTTGGATGAGAGAGCTAATTAGTTTGGGATATACTCTCCCAAAAGATGAATTGAAAAAAACGGTGAACGTTCAAGTTGTTAAAGAAAAGTGGAATTGATACAGGCAATGTAATAAGCGAAACTAAAATCAACTGCTCTCACATCAAGCTATATAGGTAGGTATATTCTCCCGCAATAAAGAATGAAACCCACCGATTTGGCTGATTTTTCCGCAGCTATGACTTTTTCTGTGAACTTTTCAACGTCTTGCTTTTCGGTTGGATAAACTGGCATGTTCTTTTCATCCGAGCCCTGCAGCACGACTTTCTCGATGCGTAGGAAGTCTTCTATTTCAAACTGTTGAAAAGAATACAATTCAACTGTTGACTAAACACAGTCCAGATGATGACAGGAACTCGATATTTGTTCATTTCATCGTTATTTTATTTGTGTTGCACAGCGTGGCTTTATATACAACAGTGAAATCGACATTCTTAAATTTAATTTTCAGAGAAAAATAAACTTATTCTATACTTTCTGGTACTCAGTTGATCTGGAAAAAAATCACCTATGCGTATTCAATAATTTGGCAAAAATTACCTCACCTTTTCAATTGCAGCGTGAATTTGGTAAAAAAAATGCCTCTACTTATTCAAGTGAAGCAACATGAATTTAACCTAAACCGGGGCCGTACTCACAAAAACAGTTAAGTATTCGTAACTTCATCAGCCAATCAATGACCGCTTCTCAAACTAAACCCACCAATCATAGACGAGCAGTCGGCAGATACATGTACACAAAAGAGTTTTGATGATACGGCCCCAGGAGTTAATCCTGACCTGCGATACAAACGTGATTGCAACACCAGAGCGACCGGCACGCGCTGTGCGCCCGACTCGGTGAATGTAGTCGTCGCTTGATGAAGGGACTTCCAGGTTGATGACGTAATCCACGCACGGGATGTCCAAGCCTCTGAAAAAACAATAACACTTATAACAGCATAATGTTCAAAACCCTTTCAATGCAAATAAAGGTCTGTAATCTACGCATGGGATATTTAAGTCTCTAAACAACACCAAACCTTGCCATGGCATTATTTCAAAGCATTTACCTGTTGGTACTAATTACGGAGAAGTTGAGTTCAATGCATAGCGTGCAAAATCAAGCGAGTTTCATCAAACCACATTAACATTTTTGTTCTAAAAACTTGTAAACAAAATGAAATAGTAAAAAATGTCATATTTATGGGGCGTAAATAGTAAAAATGTCATAGGTAGGGTGACTATCATCCAAGAATCGTGAAAAATGCATACATACACTAGACACAAGTCGCACACATTAAAAAAATTGTGGGGGAAAGTCACTTATTTCATCACAAAGTCCATCGAATTAAGATTAGGTTGAAGTCCTAATACAAGGTAGCAGTCCTATTACAATGTAGCAGTCCTATTACAATGTAGCAGTCCTATTACAAGGTAGCAGTCCTGTTAGAAGGTAGCTGTCCTTTTACATAGTAGTGGTCCTATTACAAGGTAACGGTCCTATTACAAGGTAGCAGTCCTATTACAAGGTAGTGGTCATATTACAAGGTAGCAGTCCTATTACAAGGCAGCGGTCCTATTACAAGGCAGCGGTCCTATTACAAGGCAGCAGTCCTATTACAAGGTAGCGGTCCTATTACAAGGTAGCAGTCCAATTACAAGGTAGCGGCCCTATTACAAGGTAGCGGTCCTATTACACGGTAGCGTTCCTATTACAAGGTAGCGGTCCTATTACAAGGTAGCAGCCCTATTTCAAGGTAGCGGTCCTATTACAAGGTAGCAGTCCTATTACAAGGTAGCAGTCCTATTACAAGGTAGCGGTCCGATTACAAGGCAGTGGTCCTATTACAAGGCAGTGGTTCTATTACAAGGTAGCAGTCCTATTACAAGGTAGCGGTCCGATTACAAGGCAGTGGTCCTATTACAAGGCAGTGGTTCTATTACAAGGTATTGGTCCTGTCTCTTATACACATCTAGATGTGTATAAGAGACAGCACCTCATTAGTGATGAAGACACCTCATTAGTAAGACACCTCATTAGTGATGAAGACACCTCATTAATGATGAAGACACCTCATTAATGATGAAGACACCTCATTAGTGATGGAGACACGTCATTATCGTCACCTTATTAGTGATAGTTGCCGAGAAGAGCATCGTGGTACGCTGCTTAGGCAGCGCCCGCACCACGCGGTCCACTTCTTCCTCGAAATCCAAATTTAATACACGGTCAGCTTCGTCCATCACCTGCACAAGATTGGTACAATATCACATGATTGCTTGCATTTCACAGTTCTTATTATATTGAAGACAACGTGTTTATAATTTCTAAAAAATTTTTAATTGCATACACAAATGAGAAAGTACAAAGTGTTTGGCAGACAAAAGTTTTTAAAGTAAGAAGAAAGAGAAAGAACTTTTATTTAAAAAAATTCTCAATTTCTTCGAAAATTCTCTGAGACAATATACATTTTAATTTCTAGTAGGTTACTAAGTAATTTTCCCTATGATTATTCAATGGTAGGTTGACAAGTCAATAATTCATTTAAGTAGAGTGACTCATAAAAAAACATAATATAAAAAACTCCAAACTCATTACAAATCTTAAATTTGAATGTCAACTCACTATGGAAGTAAATTCATTCTCCTAACTTCTTTCTACTCAACATGTATTAAATAACCGTATAACTAACACAGTGAATACAAATTGATGCATGCAGAACATGTCTCTCTTCAGCAATGCTAACGACATTGCTATGAAGAACTGGGAGATTCTAAATGATATTTTCAAATTCTTTTCAACCAGTTACTATAGTAGCAAAGGAACTAAATTCTTTTTACCTAAACTTCTAGATGTATTCACTTCAACATGTGTTGAGAAATGTAATACCACAAAGTAATACATTTTTGTTTACCAAATATTTAATTGAAGAAAGTGAGAAGCCCTTAAGGTGCTTGAGGTGGTCGACGATGCGGCCGAGGGTGGCAACGATAATGTGAGGGTTCTTGAGGAGCATCAGCGCCTGCTGCGTCATGTCAATGCCACCCACCACTGCCAGACACGACAGCCCAAACTCTCGACCTGCATATAAATATTATTATTATTGTATGGTGCAATTATCGTGGCGTCCGGTTCAATGAACTTCAAGATCACATTAAATATGATTAATTATTCATCTAGACTGCATAGAAAACCATTCGGAAATAACAATGAACATTTATTTTTCAATCTAGGGTGCCTATGACATCATTAGGTGATCAAATTAGAGAAAATTATTTCTATAATTCATCAATCTAAATTACATACATCATTGGCTGAACACAACAGCCTGAAGCCCGTGCCTTGACAAAAACATGGTTCATTTAACAGTCTCCTGAACAAGGATCGTCATTAGCTAGACAACCGTCAGTCATCTTGGCCAATAAAAATTTAGTTCATTCATCAATCTAGCTAAGATGTTTCATAACCTCAACAAAACTGTTCAAAGTCCCAACCTGAACAAAATTTAGTTCATTCATCAATCTAGCTAAGATGGATCATAACCTCAACACAACTGTTCAAAGTCCCAACCTGAACAAAATTTAGTTCACTCATCAATCTACAGCACAGGAAACATAACAGACGGTAGACAAACCCAAGTCATCGAGCTGCTCCTTAATTTGTATGGCCAGCTCTCGGGTGGGTGTGAGGATGAGGGCGAACATGCGTTGAGGTTTTAGTAATAATGCTTGTAGGATGGGCAGTCCAAAGGCTCCTGTCTTGCCTGAACCAGTCTCAGCAATCCCAACAACATCTTTGCCTGAAAATATAAAAACCTATTGGAAGTTTGCTAACAATTCTTTAAAAAATCTGTAGAATGATTCAAGTAATGAGTTTACATCCTAGCAAAATAATGAGAGCTCCCTTCTGGTGTATGCAATGAACTCCTTTGCCACACACAGAGGGTTAAAAATATTTTTTTGTGTCTGCAGAGTACAAAAAATCTTTCAGGTCATATTTTAAAAATTCTTAAAGCTACACCAAGAACAAGGAGGATTCAATGTGACTATTCCTACCATTAGCAAACACAACTAGAAAAAGTTAAATCAATGAGAGTTAGCATGAACAACAATAGCACGTTTTATGACAAACATTTCAATAGCTATTATTTGAGGTCCATATGGAATGACTTTGCACACAGCTGATTTAATCTTAGTAGCACTGAAAATAGCTCTAAAATGCTTCTTATACTAGTTTACTTTTGTTTAAATGTTTGATGCATTTGTGCTGTTAAAGGGTTAGTTAATTTTTAATCTGAATGTTTATATAAATCAAAGCACAAAAAAAAAAAGAAAAACTGAAGGCTGTAATGAATATCCTCCACAGCACAATATGAATGACAAGATGCTAGATACAAATTCCTTAAGTAAATGCTAGCTTACGAAATACCTTGTAAGGCCACAGGGATGGCTTCTTTTTGGATTTGTGTAGGTTTGGTCCATTTCATTTTTTCACAAGCCTCACACAGCTCATCAATCAGGCCCTGGAAGATAAGAATATTATATTGTCAGTAATACTACATAAATTATCACCCAGGCACAGAATGTATGCATCTATTTTCCAAGCAAACTTTACCCATTCCTATGATTCGTGACTACCATCAAATGAGGGAATAAGGGACAATTTAAAATTTAATTTAATTTTTTTATAACTTCTCACCATGAAACATTTTATAAACAAGTTTGAGCTCACTTTAAAGGTCAATGCAAGGGCCATCATATGGCAGCTCCAAAAAAATCATTGTTATTGTATTGTCTCTTTATGAAGAATTTGCAAGATGAGCATTCTGACATTTGGAATGCAGTTGTTAGCAGAACATTGCTCTGTAGAAAAAAAAATATCATCTAGCTTATTTATTCATATATTCTAACAATGGATATAAATAGGACCATTAGAAAATTTGTTACATAGGTATATTGTTAGGTATAAACTCAAAGCTCCAAATAAAGTTAAAAATATCGTCTGTTTTGAGCTGTTGTGTATGGAAGCATACCTTGACCACAAGTTAGAATTGTGTATGTCATGTGACTGTAAATAAAAGGTGAAACGCTTCAGTAGAGTGATTTATGATAGAGGTAATGGAAAAACAAGCAACACTGAATTTAATGGATAAAACATTATACTGGCTTACACAATTCAGGGTAAAAAGTACAAGCTGTTTGTCTGTGTTATTTCTTCAAGAATGAAAACTTTGTATCTGTATGAACTATGAATAGAAGTAACATGTGTTCCACTTCAGAATATCTGTATATGGCATTGGCATGTGACTCATGTGAGCCTCTGATCTCTGCCATGTCTTCGTTGTGGGGGTACCCTGGCCTGCGCGTCGGCCGGGTGCGCCCAGCCCACCGTAGGACTGGCCAAATGGCAGAGGCCCCCCCCGCCCGGATTGCTGCCGGGTGGAAGCCTACCCCACCTTATTTTTTTCCGCTTAAGGGTCGGGAAACCTCAGCCTCCCCTACCCCCTAACTCCCTTGCCTCTGCATCCTCCACTTTAACTGCAATGGGATCCAATCCAGCACAGATGAACTGGCTGCCTTCCTCGCACAGAACGATGTTGCGATTGTCTGTATCCAGGAGACTAAACTATCAGCTGCCTCCCGCCCCCCCTCTTTTCCCGGATACACGCTGGAGCGTAGGGACCGTCCCAGTGGTCAAGGTGGCGGTCTCCTAATCCTGATCTGTCATGACATCCCATACACCAGGCATGACATTTCTCACCTCCTGCGCAGTGATGCCACCATAACAACCATGACATTTCTCACCTCCTGCCCAGCGACACCACCATAACGACCACAACAATCTCCACTCCTCTTAATGGCTCCCCTCTCCGTATTGTCAATATATACATCCCACCAGCCACCTCCTGCCTCCTGGGATATTCCCCGGACTTCTCTGACATTGCCACCATCCCGGACAACTGTCTGATAGTGGGCGCCTTCAATGCCCATCACCCCTCCTGGTTCTCCCACACCAAGGACCATAGAGCAGCAACGAGAGGGATCAACATCGATGACTTCATCTCTGGCTCCCCCATAGTTTTTCTCAATGAGGATTTGCAGACCTGCCTTCTCTCCCATGGTCCGCCCTCCCCACCTGACCTGCCATCATCGCATGGCAGCTGCTACTCAGCACCTCATGAGCTCCTCAAGTCACCCTGAATTCCGACCATTTACCTATCTTGCTTCATTTACCTCCCGCCATTGAGGCCCCAGCTCCCAGGTCTGCCCGCTCTTATACTAACTTTAAGAAAGCAGACTGGCCCGCCTTCACTGCAGCAAGAGGCGTCTTGGCGGTGGCTGCCAAGCAGCACATCCCTATGGGCTTTCGAAAGGAGTTCTCCTCCGCAGCCAACCCTGGCACCCGGTTGCTTATAGAGCAATGGGATGACATCAGGGCGCACAACCTTAATGAATCCCAGCTCCCTGAACTCAACCTAGAAATCACTACTTCAATACAGGCTCATGCCAGGAACACGTGGCAGACACATCTCGCCTCGAGCAACAGGCAAACCCACCAGTCAAAACACTGAAATCTCCTCTGCTTACTATCCCAAAAGCTTAGCTGCCCTCACCCAACCAGCCAATCCAATTTGGTCAGACCCCCCTCTCGTCGCAGCGCAAGATTTCCATCTCCTTCTGCAAACTATTCACCTCCATTGCTCTGCACTCTCAAAACACATCCACCTGCCACCTTATGCGTCGAATTTGGGCTGAGTACCCCCCGGACAGGGATTGCACCCCTTTCACCCCAACATGTTGAAATTCGCCATCAGAGCCTCCAACAATTCTTACGCTTGGGGTCTGGACAGCCTCATGGTCCGTCGCCTCAAACATCTTGGCCCACATGGCCTCCAGTTCCTCACCCAGATCTTTAATACCGTATCTCTGTCTCCACCACCTCCATTCCACCCATATGGAAAAACTCAATAATTATCCCAATATTAAAACCAGGTAAATGTGGTAACCAAGGCTCCTGTAATGCATCCATGTAATGCATCCGTAAATGCAATTCTGCATCTGTCTTTTTTTGCAAATAAATCATAGTTTAGGTTAATTACTTTCCATTCTATGTTGCCTGTTGCACAATTTGATCTATGACATTCTATGCACAATTTTGTGATGACCAATGATGCATTAATTTTTTGTCAAGTGAAATTTTTTTTTTCGCTGAGTGAGGTAAATTTATGTTAATTGATTTTTTATTAAATGGAGCCTTTGCTAATCTAGGTTCTACTGAAAATGCATTTTCAGGGGTGTCCCTTATGACCCTATCTTGCAGATATGGCTCCCATTTTTTTAATGAGATATCCAAATTCAGTCATTCATGTTTTTTGAGCCAACACCTGTGTGCATCTTTCATGTAGGTAAAATTTTTTAACATGGCTACTATTTTTTTTTTTTTTGCTACATAGCTTAGCAGAGGAACTTTTCCAAAATCTCTTTCCACACTTTTTTCAGGGATTTTTTATATGTAGTAAATTTATGATTTTTTAACTTGCTTTGAGTTACATAGATACCGGTAGTAAAAATGTTCAACTTTATGCCACTTTTTTTTGGTTTTGCAATATCTTGACTAGTTTAGCTGCTACAACATTTCTGCAATATGTGGGACGACAGTCCCAATTTACCTCACCTCATCCATCCCTTAGTACTCCATTTGACAGTATATGAACCTTAATTTTTAGAATTCCAACCTGCATGAACACTGGTGATAAAGTGATTGTTGTGCAGATTCTGCCAGTTCCCTTTCCCCTCAGCCCTTGATTGTCAGTTGCCTTTCCATTATGCAATTTTCAACAATCACCTACAAAAATTGAAATTTTGTTTTTACCCATGCCACAATGCAAGACATTTCTGCCAAAAATTTAAAATTGGCTTTGCCTATGGACCATCCACTGTGCAGAAAGTAGGTGAATATTGCAAGATCTTTGGAGAGGCTTCTGCAGCAAAATTTACACATTCAGAAGATCTTGCTGACACATTTGGATTGAAATTATTACATTCTAGACATTTGCCATTCTTCAGCAAACTAGGGTAAACGCACCATATTCCGACATCATGGGTAATTCCGATACTTCTCAACTTTTTCCTTTATATTAAGATTTATCTTAGTTCCATGCATGCATAGATGGTTGAAATAGTGAAGTCATACTATTGCACGCCAGATTTCCACAAAACACTAGGTCTGGCAGGAAAATGTTAAGATCCTCAGCGCAAAAATCCACGTCACCCAGTGAGAACATCGAAAAACATGTCAAAGTTGATAGTTGACCTTGCTCTACCAAATAGTGATAAACTGTTTGCGTAGAAAGAATATTATTGTTTGAGACTTAAATAAGTCTGTGAATATATTAGGAATCCTTCAAGTATACTTGTATTTGCTGATTTTAAGTGGTAAATAAATTAATAGATGATCAAGTTAAGAGACGGTTTTAGACACATAAAAACTAATTCCAATACAGCTCAGAATTGGACACACACAGCTAGTTCCGAGCTGTGTCGTATTCCGATACGGCATTGGAATTTGAACAGAGGGCATTGAATTATGATTTACGGTTTTGAAGCGCTCTGTCTGCAAGTCTACAGACATCACACAGCACATTTCAGTGATGTCAAAATTAGTCTCACAATATGCCAAATTTAGTCACACACAGCGTTGGAATTCAGCAAATTGTAGATTTGGATTCTAAAGGCTTTTAAATAAAAATGGCAACAGTTTGTGACGTTTCATCATTGCTGGCGCATAGTGTGGTGTTTTGAGAGTGACATAAAGCAATCAGAACTCGAGTTGCGCATACGGTGATCTTTTTATAGCCATTCATTTCTTGCTATGTCCTTATAGTGTTGGAATATGGTGTGTTTACCCTATTTAGAAAATAGTTTAAAATCTGAAAGACCGCAAGTGACGCATGCAGTGAATAACGAGAACAATAATAATTTTAGAACTAAGCAACAGTTGCTAGGACATAGGGTTCAGGATAGCTTTGTTGATATGAGCACAGCACCATCTCTTGGCAGTCTGGGCGGCAGAATCGTGTTAAGCCTCACTCTACTTTGCTGCTCTCTCTAGTCTAAATAGAAGGCGCCACGCATCGACTGCCAAATAGCTGCCAAGCTATATGTGTTGCAGTTTGTGGAGAGTAAGGGATATACTATCAAAGTTGTTAGCAGCATTTTCTTATTAACATTAGGCGACGGATCTTTAAAATGGCCATCAACGCTTTGGGCTAAAAATTCATATATTGGCAACGCTGCTTGCACCCTCTTCACCCTAGAGGCCTATTACAATTTTTTCAGCAAAATACAAGAATAATGGTTATCTTTGCCTTTAATTTTCTACAAAAATCACATATGAAACTTGCTTTATCAATATTTATAAAAAATTCCGTCCAACATTACAGATAAAAAATTTGCTCAAAATTTTAATTTTTCAAAATTAGCCCATGTAGCTACAAGTGATACAACAATCTGTTTCAAAAAGGGGCTTAAAAAGATATCAAATTGTTAGCAGTCAAGCATTTTTGTCTCATTTATGGGTGGTTTATGCACAATTTTGGATTTTCCAGTCTAGCATGAGGCCGATGGGGCTGTGTTCTAGAAATATGGGCTAAATTTTTCATTTTTCCCTGCCTTTAGCAACAAAATTACAATAGACACTTACCAAATCTTTGAAAGTAACTTCTCTTTCTTCCATTGTAATTGTTGTTCTTGTAGATACTGCTGAAGATTTGTCTTGAAAAACAGAAGAAGGAGGTCACCAGTCAAGGGCTGCTACTTCCGTACTTAGCCTTTAGGTAGGTAGGCTACTTTTGTTTGCTTGATAGCCTACTTAAAGTTAGGTACTAATAAAGTTGGTATCACAAATTCACAATATTAGTCTTCAGCCATTCCTCACATAAGTTTTTCAGTATGGTAAGTTTGAAAATATGTTTTTAACTAGCCAACAAACTGTGGGTAGAACACATGAAAAAGAATTATTAATGTATATTTTTCATAAAAATTATGAAAATACAAACTACTACAGTAGTTTGTACAGTATTCTTTCTTTCTTATTTATTCTTATAGGAGCACTGGAAACTAGTCCATAAAGCCCCTTGCCTAAACTGGGCTTAATTGGTACCTACCTAACAATTAAACAGCTCTTAAAGTGAAAATCTGAAACAAAGAGAGAACACACACACACTGACACACATGGAAAAAAATAATAAATAAATAAAAAATACTAAAATAAAAAAAAAATAAATAAATAAAAAATAAAAATTAAAAAAAAATAAAATAAAATAGAATAATAAGAGTAAATAAAAAATAATAATAAATAAATAAAAATAGAAAAAAATAAATAAAAAATAAAAAAATTCAAAAAGTAAATAGATAAATAAAATAAAAGTAATGCAAAAATTAAACATACCTAGATAAATAACAAGAATGAAGCAATGAATGCAATAAATGTTAAGAAAAAATAAAAGAAAACAAAGAAAATTGAAAAAATAAATATATAAATAAATAAATAAAAAGGCCAAAATTAATATAATAAAAATAAAGAAAAACACACAATACTGACATTAGCAAAAAAAAATAAAATAAAATAAAAATAAATAAAAAATTTTAGAACAAAAGAACAACAAGATACAAAATGCAATAACATAACATAGCAGCATGGATGGCAAACCCATTGAAGAGTACAAGACACAGCACTCGGCAGAGCCGTGGAACATGGCAGAGCCGATGAACACGGCAGAGCCAATGAACACAACAGAGCCGATGAACATGGCAAAACCGACAACCGTGAAACACAGCAGAGCCGCGAAGCATATCTATATACAATACACATCTATATCTATACAGCGTCTCATGTCTATATACACATGGGCTATGAACTAAAAAAATAAAATAAAAAGCAATAAGGCACCAAACATTACAAAGTTGGGACTTTGTAATGCTACCACTATGGTCAGTCATCACGCTATTATTCTTTTCAGCAATTCAAGGTAAAAATGTCTAATCCAGTATTAGTTGTCTCATCCATGCCCTAACTTGCAGTCTTGCACCACACCACTATGCAGAGGGTGGATGCAGCGTCGCCAATATATGGATTTTTAAGCCCAAAGCGTCGCCGGCCATTTTAAAGATGCGTCGCCGGGTAATTTTTAATGAAAAGCCATTTACGCTGAGTAATGACAAACTATTTACAAGCCACAAACTTAGTTACAAGGTTGCATGCACGTGTTACCCCAAATAACTAATTTTACCCTAAAAACAGTCCGATTGTACAGCAAGTGTCAACTGAACATGTAATAAAGCAGTCTGACCACTCTAATGTGATCGAAACTATGCAATCAAAAAAACGTTGTTTACATTTTTTGCGGGAACTCATCGCAACTGATTTCCGGACAAGCTTCGCTGCATCGTATTCCTTCCAATGCACCGAAAACCTTACTTTTTTTCTAAATAGTAGGCCGAAGACTGAGAAATATATTAAATGCAAGAATTTCAATCTAAATGTGTCGGCAAGATCTTCTGAAGGCGAAAATTTGGCTACTGAAGCGTCGCCAAAGATCTTGCATTATTCATCTACTCTCTGCACAGTGGGCACCACACATGACATCACTATGCTAGCAGCTAGCTGAAAGTCCAGCCTGGGTCAGGGTGGGGGCAGCCTGGAGCTTCTCTTGACTTAGCAGCCAAGGCAAAATTCTACTCTACACTCTCAAACAAGAGGGAAATAAAATAATTAGAAAAAACTTTTTTAAAAACCACGTTTTTCTTGTGGACTAAAAAGTAGAAAATAAATTATGGCTTGCCCCAAAAAACGTGTGTCGGGCAGATTTATGATTAAAGCAAAAAGCACACAACACACGAATTTTGGAAATTTGATGCCATTGATGGTGAACGTACAGCCCGACCCACGTTTTTTGGGGCGAGCCATAATTTATTTTCTACTTTTTAGTCCACAAGAAAAACGTGATTTAGAAAAAAATTTCATCATTATTTTATTTTCTCCTTTTTAGTCCTTTGCTACACATGAAAAACGTTGTTGCGAGCCAATTTACTTGACTTGACGTACGACGACGTACATATCGTCTGTCGGTATCGATAATATGCAGCGTAGACTCCTGCGTCCCGAAATAATTTTCTCGAAATGAACTGGGACAGACAAAACGAGACGAGAAAATTCCGGGAAAAAAATAACGGGACAGAGGGTAAAATTTGTCCCGGAATAAACGTATGAACCGAGACAAGACTTCTGTCCCGGACTTTAAAACTTGTGTCCTGGTAAATTATGAACCAGGACGAGACAGACAGATTTGAAACGAGACATAACGAGACAAGACGAGATTTGTCTGAATTATTTACGACAAAACAAGTTTTTCAATTACGATACGAATCATTTCGAAAACATGGGTTGAAGAATGCCAAGTTAGACCTTTATTGCTAATAGGGCCATAGACAGTTACCACTTAAATTGAGTTAATTTGCAGATTTAGCAAAATTTGTCTGACTAACTGACATGGCAGTTAATTTGTGGTCGGACAAACACCGCAAACCTGTCAATGTATGGCTGAGTATTGAGTTAAAAAATGTTACTCTTAAGTCTTAACTTAATGGTCTTAAGTCTTAACTTAACTTAACACTTTATGGGTACCGTACGTATACTAGTCAAGTTCATTACGCGTTCGGAACAAGTTCAGGCGCCATGGAGCCCTTATGGAGTAGGGACGCAGTGTCTAGAATAGTAGGCCAATTAGTAGACTGTGGAATGGAGTCCTGGTAAGATATTCCTAATAATACTAAAGCTAGTTTTTCATTATCTCTGCCTTTAGTAAAATTTTGTGCTACGCCTCCAGGAAATCTTCACAATTGCCCAGTTACCTGAATTGTTATTAAACGCTTGTTTGACGTTATTTAGAAAGGATAAACATGGATATTTAGAGTTTTTTTTTTTAAGATCAAACTATTATATTTTTCCAACTTAAGGGGAGCGTCTGCCCCAAATTTTATCTCAGTTACGGTATTTATCCACGGATCAATTCGAAATTCAGTACACATATGTAAAACGGAATTCTAAGACTTTGGTTTGTGTGAATTTTTCGAAAAAAATGAAATAAAACGTGAAATTCTTCGAAAACGGACAAAAAAGGGGGTACTGTAGAAATCTCTCTCCTCCTAGGATTTTCAAGCTACAACATTGAGACACATATCATTCGATGCGTAAAGATCATATCTAAGACTGATGCAGATGGTTTTTTGAAATTCTCATTTTTGTGGGTATGGGAGCATTTTTCATGAATTTTTCGGAAATTTTTTCATTTCACCCCCGCCACCCCTCCCTTTCTGCAGAATAAAATCCAAACTATTACGAAATTAGAAAAAACGTCTGCATCATTTGTAGATCTATTATTTGCATTTCGAACGGAATATCTCTCATTGATGTAGCTTCAAAACTCTAGGAGGAGATAGGTTTGCAGTGACAATAGGTTAACTTTTCAGTAGAGCCCCACAAAGTCGCACGCGCCTCTAAATAGACATTCACGGGTGCTAGGTTGCAAGACTAGACAATACTGGAGCTCAATTTCTGTCAAGGATGGTGCGAACGACGGCACGAGAACCATCCCGTACGACTGCAGGCGGATAACTGAAGCACAGCGTGTTCAGACTAGCTATTTAAGTGTTCTACCAGTAATTTCGGCCTATCTAAAATGTTAAAGAACTTCATTACCCCTAACCCTTTCGCGATCTGTCGTGAACGCATAAATCAACGTACAGAGATGGTTTTGGTACCGTTAGATGCATCAGAATATAAGCTTTAAGATGAGTATAGAAATCAAAAAAGTCAAAAAATTTTATATTGGGGCAGACGCTCCCTTTAAATTTTGTTGTATTCTAAAATGTTGTTGATATTTCTTTCTAGACTTTTTGTTGAAGGAGATTGATCAAGGCAAGATCAATGAATCTTATTCTGTGATTGAGCTGGAGGCAAAATAAAATCTGTCCAGACAGCCGATGTCACCAGCTACAGCTAGGATGGCCTCCTCCAGATTGTGCATACCAAATTTCACATCTCTAGAGCAATCAGAAGTGGGCTAATTTTCGTTGTCAATGTTAACAAGAAACAAACAAACAAACGAGAAGCTGAGTAAAGAAAAACGTGTTAACAAATAAAAAACACGACCTGTGGCTGTGGGCAGGGCTCTGAACTTCTGAAGGAGAATAGGGATAGTTTGATGATGAAGGAATAAGTAGCACACCTCACATGGGCTGTCACTACCTAATTAGTTCTAGACTGTCTTAAATCTATTGAGACCGCATGGAGTGCTCCTTTTTCCGTAACAGGTGACACATTTGTGTGTTTAGAGGGTCACTACAGACGTTTTTTTTTTTTAATTTGATTTGAAGGCTTCGGGTATGCTGGTAGCACACCTCCCAGCCTGAGCACAACTGGGATTTTGGTCACTCCACTTCACTTTTGGTTCTACTTAGTTTTTATTCAATTTTAGCACTTCCACCAGCCAGTGTGGCAGTAAATTGTAAAGAGAGAAAGAGATGGATTAATTAGGCTTTGAAGAACTTTATAGCCTGGTCACCATATTGCAGCTTAGCAAATATTGACCCAGATGACGGATGGCAGCAGTGCGTCTCCTTGTTGGGGCGTCCCCACCGCCGAGAGCTGAGATAAGATCCCATTGTAGTGAGAGGCCTTCCAGTCTTGAGCGGAATTCCCTTCGTTGGTTGGAAAATTGATACAAGGTAGCAATCCTATTACAATGCTGCAGTCCTACTACAAGGTAGCAATCCTATTACAATGCTGCAGTCCTACTACAAGGTAGCAAAGCGTACCTGGATGCGACGTTGGTCGCCACAAGGATGGACCTCTCCTGCTGCTTGAACTTCTCCAGCGCCTCGATCCTCTTGGTCTGGGACATGTCTCCGTAGAGGGGCACGGCCCGGTGGCCGCACTCACGCAGTATC